GCCATGGGCAGGGACCCCTCCCACTAGCCCAGGTTGCTCAAAGCCTCATCCAGCCTGGCCTTGAACCCCTCCAGGGATGGGGCATCCACAGCTTCTCTGGGCAACCTGGGCCACTGCCTCACCCCCTGCACAGGAAAACATTTCTTCCTAATGTCTAGTCTAAATCTACCCTCTTTCAGCTTATACCTGTTACCCCTTGTCCTCTGACTACACTCCCTGATGAAGAGTGCCTCCCCATCTCTCCTGTAGCCCCCTTTCAGCACTGTCAGGCTGCTATTAAGTCTCCCCGGAGCCGCCTTTTCTCCCATCTGAACAACCCCAACTCTTTCAGCCTGTCCTCATAGGGGAGGTGCTCCAGCCTCGGACCAGTTTCGTGGCTCTCCTCTGGACTCTCTCCAACAGGTCCAGGTCTTTTTTATGTTGGGGGAGCATTTAAAACTAAAATGAGGGTGTAAATTTGAAATTAGGAATGAAACATGGGGAAGCTGTAAGAAAGCATTAACCAGGGTTTCTCATTAGGTGTTTGATACCACCTCATCCTTAAGCTCTAATTCATCACAGTCCTGGTGATGGAGCGTGTTATGCTCTGGAAGACTTCCCTTGAAGTTTTCTTTTATGCTTGTCACTTTACATCTTTCTATGGAAACTTTCTAAACAGCCAGTTTCTGGTTGGCTGTACCATTCAAAACAGAGAAACTGTCTGCTCTGACTTCCTAAAGTACTTGTACAGATTCCCAGAAACCTTAAGTAACCTCCTGGCATCTATGCAATGGGAAGATCTTCTGTCTTGAAAGTTAGAGTGCAGACAAACCTAAAGCAAAATTATGTCTTGTCACTGTAAAAAATTGTATTAACCTTTGGTATAAATTCACTTAGTGGAAGAAAGTCTTATTTTGAATTTAGAAAGCACTTTTTGAATCCCTTCTTGCATATTAGAAAATAAGTAGAATGGTGAAAGCATAGCAAAAAAAGCAGTATTTGGACTGTTAGGTCAATAGAAAAGTATGTTTTAAAAAATAATCAGACATATCAGGTGCATAAAGACTGTTTAAAGTCATAAACACTGAATTAGAAATTCCATGAATATCTATTTACCTCTTGCCCACATTCGTAATTTTCAAGTTAGTCTCAAATAATATAAACATATGTTCTATCCTCTGTTTTTTTTTTTACTTTTGTTATTTGATTCTTCTATTTTTTCTTTCCTTACCTGCACATTATTACCCAGTAACTCCACTGAGAAGTCAACTGCTCAGTTGGTTTGGGCTGTCTTGGAATTTCCAAGGTAGATGGGATTTTCACTGTAAACTTTTAAAATATTTTCTTTTCTTCAGGCAA